AAAAAAAAAAAAAAAAAAAAAAAAAAAAAAAAAAAAAGGTAAACAAGATAAACAAGGCAAATTAATTTCTCGGAAGGAGCTTGCAACAGAAGAGTAACAGATACTTAGACAAATAATATTGCTATATTGTGATCAATGTAATGCTGAGAAACTACAAGGAGCTGAAGTAACACAGCAGAGAGAAAAGTGATAACTTCCTTTTGTAAAGTTCTTTAAAAATGAGAACAGAGATCATGGCATGCAAAAAACACAGCATAGTCCTTGGTACATACTACACAGCACATTAATGTTAATATCTGCCATGAACAGCTTTGGTTTTTCATGCTACACCTTTTACCACCAGTTCTGTGGTGTTACTATTACTGTGCTTTTACAAATGGAGGCCCAAGGAGGTCAAAATTATACTGAGTTTTTTAGTAAGAGCCAGAATTAATACTCAAATATTAGACTTTAATACATTATTAGTTCTTATGTACTTTTTTATGAAAAATGTTCACAAACAGAAAGCAACCGTTTATCCGTTCTGATTTTTCAGTTACCTAATAAATCAATACCTTTATTGTCTGGCACACTATTTTGAATAAATGCTTACTAAATTAAAAATGGAAATAATTCAACAGTAAGAGCAGCATCAGTTGAAATAATAATGCTGTCTCTCTCTTTTTTTTTTTTTTTTTTGGGAAAAAGTCTTGCTCTGTTGCCGAGGGGCATGATCTTGCTCACTGCAACCTCCACCTCCTAGGTTCAAGCGATTCTCCTGCCTCAGCCTCCCAAGTAGCTGGGATTACAGGTTCGTGTCACCATGCCTGGCTGATTTTTGAATTTTTAGTAGAGATGGGGTTTAACCATGTTGGCCAGGCTAGTCTCGAACTCCTGACCTCAAGTGAACTGACTGCCTCAGCCTCCCAAAGTACTGGGATTACAGGTGTGAGCCACCTTGCCTGGCCAATAATGCTGTCTTAATGCATCTTTTCTGAAACCTTGAAATATGTAAAAAACTTCGTTATTTCAGATTTGATATGCCATTTTGATAATAGGGTGAAATAAAACAGATTGTACTTTGAAATTTCTGTGTCAGTTTGGTGCTATATAGATAACTTTCGCATATGTAGAATAATGCTAATAGGAGAAATCTGCATTATGGTGACCTTGTGAAGATTTATAACATTTATTTATTTCACAAATATTTTGAGTACTTACTACAGTTGTTTCTATCTTATCAATTGAATTTTTCTAAATAAAAACATTTTCAATTTATTTGGTTTTCAGGATCGAGGGAAAGTTCAATTTTACAATTTTCCTCTAATACATTGTTGTGCTCTTGCTTATCTGTCACCAAGCTTCCAGACTAAAACTAAGGCGGCAACTTCAAAAATAGAATACAGAGAATGCAGAAGATAACTCAGCGGTCTGAGAAAACAATGTTGTTGGACTGGTATTTTGTTAATGGAAAGTCCTCCCAAAAGCAGTGATGACATTTACTTCTGTGAAAAATTTTAAAAACATCATTGATTTTTTGGCAAAGGCCTGCCTCGAAACAGAGTGACTTCTGTGAATTGGGAGGATCTTTTAATTACATGGTGCTGACCTGAGTAGTAATTTTTCTCATTCTGCTACTGGTTTGATCACTAGAAAGGTTTTTTTTCCTTTGACTTCAAAATCTAGGGAAGCTCAAAAGAAGGAAATGAAGCAATAAAACACCGAATTGGTTTTTATTGTTTGATGACATGACCAATTAGTGTCTTGTCTTCCTCTGTTTTGATTTTAGATAACATCCAGCAGCTTGTAAATGTGATAGATTACATCTGCTTTGTGGACATGTAAGCCTCAGGAAAGGCCTGTGGTACATTTCAACAGGATTGAGAAATTTCTATTTTACATTTTATCCCCAGCCTTGCCATATATGTTAGTTAATTAAACAAAACATTCCCTTAGTGAAATATTTTTCTAATATGGTTGTTAGATCAAGATTAATAGATATATTACATATATCATATATACTGCAAAGTATAAAAAGAATTCAACTTTTCCTGCATTCACTTCATTCTTTAGGGATGTTTGTGAATTCCCTTTGTTAGCCACTTGAGAATAAAATTCCCCCTGTCAAAAAAGTACAAAATGCAATTTGCCAGTCGTTTAGAGCTTAAAATCAGAAAGAACATGTAGAAACACATGCATATTGGATATTTTATCAAATCATACTTAAAGGGAATTTCACATGTTGCGAAAATAGTTTTTGAAATGTTTATTTTGTTTAAAAATTTTAAGCTCTAAAGGCAAATATTAAACAATAAATATAAATATAGTTTAAGCTAAGCTTTGTACTATGACATAATTTCACACCATTATAGACAGGAAAAAATTTGGAGACCATTGTAATAAGTATATAAAAATGTAATTTTAGGAGTGACTTTATATGTTTATTAGT